CAAATGAGTTGTCAAAGTAAACTGGAAGGCTCTCAAGCTATGCACCATGTCGAGCTACCCAAAACGTGTGCTTAGAATAGCATTGGCTTTGAATATGAATAAGGCCTTTACGATGAAAAGTGAATGAAGCCGGACAGATCAGCATTTCTATAGAACCTAATCAGACGTCCAGAGAATGGGATGCAGGGTGGTAATGACCCAATTTCAGCTGAAGACTTCTTCCGATATGAGCGGCAGCACCTCATGGCGGTAGTTCTGTTTTCCGATGTATCTGCCAGTAAACAATTTAATATCTTCGAAAGCTTTTAGCTCGACGATATGGTGCCGGTAGTGATTAATCGGCTGATCACATTCCATGTGTAAACATAGATAAGCTATGAAAAACGAAAGTCTACTGAACGATGAAGTCTTTGACGTTAGTCAACCCCGTTATTTAGAATACACCCTGCATTCGACTTCCATTCGGATCGTAGTGGTGTTTGAATGCGTGCGTGGCCTATACAATGACTGACGGTGGCCAGCCGATGTCCAAGTTAGTGCTTTTATCCTCCCAGACGAGTCTGGTACCAACGAGGGAGAGAGATTGAAGGCTCGATCGGCCTAGGCGGATACCGATCCGCGATTCGACCCCGTGACCAGGCGTGTGTGACAGTGCTACCTCTGCATAACAAAGGGAATATACAGTAGCGCTCAAAAGTATTCGGCGAAATGCTTCTTCAGTCGTACTTTTCAATCGCAACTTCTTTCCTACTGAATCTGATCATGCGAAATTTCAGTGTGTGTAGCATGGGTGTATTGTGAATATTTGCCACTAATAACTTGCAATCGGTTGTGTTCCAGATGTCCTAAAGGGCTTGGACTTAAAATCGACTGGAAATACAGACACTGGTCCTTCTAGGATTTCTTTTCTTTCTGCCACGCCCAAAGTGTACCAGCGTCAATGCCAAAAGCAGTAGAGAAGAATAACACACATAAGGTGCGAGTAACTNATCGCAACTTCTTTCCTACTGAATCTGATCATGCGAAATTTCAGTGTGTGTAGCATGGGTGTATTGTGAATATTTGCCACTATTAACTTGCAATCTGGTTGTGTTCCAGATGTCCTAAAGGGCTTGGACTTAAAATCGACTGGAAATACAGACACTGGTCCTTCTAGGATTTCTTTTCTTTCTGCCACGCCCAAAGTGTACAAGCGTCAATGCCGAAAGCAGTAGAGAAGAATAACACACATAAGGTGCGAGTAACTGCAGACGTCGTTGATTTTGTTTAAACGTTGTCTACTACAACAAAATACACCTTGCTCTAGTTATTTGGATATTGATGTTTTGCAGTCAAATACTGTCGGATGGTGTGAAACATGCTACAGTTAGACATATCAAAATTTCGTGAGATTTGCTCCACGAAGAAAAAAGTTATGAACGGAAAAGCGTGAGAGCGCTTGGCCGAACAACAGTTTTCGAGTTCTTTTAATGCCACTAATGCCCTTTGCTTATCGTACTGAACTCTTGAATGTGTAATCAGTCGTTCAAAAGAAGTCCGTAAAGGCTGTTTTTACTGAAAACCCACAGTGTGATGCCAACTGGGGTTTTTTTGTTGGTAGAGCAAAGGAACTCCCCAAAGAGTCCTTAAAGTTCACCTTAGGAGGGTTGAGGAGAAGAGGAGAAGGATGGGATGAGGAAGCCATACCTAGTCTATTCATTTACCCTACCCTTCTGTATTCCCCAAAGTCCTTCTGGCAGATACTTCCTGTTTTTATGTATTTTTTATTAGTTACCCATATATAGCCACTACAAGCAACAGTAGAATGTTTTTGATCAATACGAGTTCTCAACTGTTGAGGGTACTGAATAGTTCTCATTAAGGGGTACGTAACGGACTCCTCCTTCATGTGATGTGTGACTAACACAGATTCATGGCAATAGGAGACAAAAAGTAGTAAGTAAGAAATTTCGCACAATTGTTAGAGTGATATCAATTTAATCCTTCACCTTCTTCCCATCATCATCACTACTATCTTCTTCTTTTTCTTGTTGATTTTCAGCGGTTCTCCCATTTAGTTTTTCTTTTTTTTCACCTAGAAGTGGGGTCTTTTCTGGTGTAGTGACGCCACTTTTCCCGATTAAATGCTTGCTCGGGGTTGAGGTCAACAACTTTAATTACTCATGCAATGTATCAAACAAGTCTTCTATGTCCCTGAGACCGTTTTCCAGGTACGTCAAGGTGTAGGTTACAAACTCTGTCTTTTAATGGATAAGAACGTTACCAGTCATGATACCGACACTTTAACAGTTTTCTCGTGAGGTCAGGAATCACCAACGCTTTGATGAACTACAGCTCATTTTTCTGTATGAGTGAAGTTCGTCATTTGGAAATTGTTCCATATAAGGTTTCATGCGCTATCAGCAACTTACCACTTGGCCTCAATACGAATTCGTTCGTATGGGCTGAGTTGACAGCAAGTCTCACTACTGTTGCCTCTCTATCTGTTTCGAACCAAGGGCCAAAATCTGGCGAAGAAACCTATCCCATGGGAAAACAGCCTTCTTGTACAGCCAGGAAAGTCTCCACTACTATCTGACTGAGGCTCCCTCAAGCGATTTACTTGCTTCCTCCTCTACCCTTTTTTCTCCATTACCTTCTCTCTCTGACGTAGCGCCTTCCCTGTCAGCCTAGGGCTTTGTCTAAGGATTTCTCATTTTCTCCTTTAATCTTTTCTACTTTTCTCAATTGTTAATAAAAGGCTATCACTTCAGACCTTCTGCTTTTGTGTTGTTGTATAGCACACCCTCCGGTGTGTTCGAATAATTAAATTAGTATGTATGTATACACAACAATAGATCGCCTACTTTTTCTTTTCATTACTTTTTTTGTTACTGGTGAATTTTTCATTTTGTTTTCGCTTTAGCACCTTTTGTAGGTTTCTTGGACTTCTTGGCATATTTGTTGGTTGTCGGTTTTCCGCTTGCAGCACTTAATCCAGCTGCGGCTCTTCCTTTCTTTGTCGCCAACATAACACAGCAGATCAATACGGGAATCAAAATAATTATCAGAAGGAACACCACAATACATAGCACAATGAAGATGATCCTGTAAATATGTATGTTATATGTATGTTTTTGAAAAATAATACATTTGAGACATTGTTTACACAGAACGCGCGTTCGAAAAAGCCAAGTATGGCAGGGGAGCAAGAGGTTAGACTCCGATTACTCGCGCGAGTGCGCGGCGAGATTTTGGCCTCGGTCTCACGGCATGTGTCTTCTGCTACTTTCGGTACTCAAACCGCCCATCCCCTGACATTTGAATTTCCTGACTATTTGGAGGTGAGATTCCTGATGCTTGGACGATTAGCTGGAAGAGCAGGGTTCTTATAAGATTCTCGCAAATAGCAGAGGATCGGGGGCACCGCTCGGAAGACTTACTGTAGCAGGCTAGTGTCCACTCCATCAGGCTGTATCGGACTACAGCAGTAGTAGTTGGTTGATTTTAACTCGTGGGCTAGGACATCCTACACTCGACTACTAGTCGGATTCTTTTTTTTATTATTGGGAATGTACTCGGGAACTCGCACTTTGAAAAAATCGAAAAACCTGATCCGTTGGGAAAGCGAATAGCATCGCCGTACCTCTTAACGCCAGCACACGTCATGAAATCAACCCTTCGCGTAGTACTTGAAATCTTTATTGTAATCGCGTTTTGTAATCTGTTTAGTTTTACCCTAGATCACCAAAGAAAATCGACAAATGAGTTTTTCATGGTTTTCTGGCGTAAGGACCTTACGGTATTATCATCTGTATTCACAAAGCAAAGTGGATCAGAGCTGAAGAGCTCATAAGTGGGCGCCCAAGTACGAGTACTCGTTGTTTACAAGAGGAGAAACAAAAATAAATGTTTACGTATTTACTATCTTCCTTACCGATCCATTGCACTTACTTCATCTTCTGAACCTAAAAAGTTGGGTATTCAGCAAAAAGTCTAGTCGAGATTGGAGGTGAGGCTTTTTTACTGAACAGCTTCGTCAGAACTGGGTTCTACGCCGAGAAGAAGTTACACTTAATTGCTGTTCCGACTGTTCAGCTGGATTCGATTCCCAAAAGCAAGACGGACTGTCGCCGGAAACTTTTTCCTTTTCCTTCAACCCAATGAATTTCGTTGAAAAAGGGTTCTACGCTCTTCAGGAACCCCATACCATACCGTACCATACCATACCATACCATACCATACCATACCATACCATACCATACCATACCATACCATACCATACCATACCATACCNAAGGACCTTACGGTGTTATCATCTGTATTCACAAATCAAAGTGGTTCAGAGCTGAAGAGCTCATAAGTGGGCGCCCAAGTACGAGTACTCGTTGTTTACAAGAGGAGAAACAAAAATAAATGTNCATACCATACCATACCATACCATACCATACCATACCATACCATACCATACCATACCATACCATACCATACCATACCATATCATACCATATCATACCATACCATATTATATGTGCGTAGTGGTACCTAGAAATCTCGTCTACCCAAGACCCTTCATCACCGATGGACCTAGAACCCTTTACTGACGGAGCAGGTAGCGCGTTTTTGGTAAAGGGCAAAGAACGTCAACTTACTATCATCTCCCTGGGGAAAACCAAGTTCTTTTTCGTACCGATCTGCAAACAAAAACTTAGTAAGAGACCGGGTTGGTCATTACTTGGGAGCTCCAACGTGTCGAGCTCTGCTTCACGATTTCTCCGCAAATCACTCGAAATCTACACTCTAGCCGCTCCCTGACTTGCTTTCTGATGCTAATCAAGTTTCATCTAGTTGTTCGGGGAAGCAAAGGATCTATTTAGGTCCCTGGAAGTGGCGCTTTCTCCGAAGCGAAGGACCAGTTATCAGTATTCACAACATAACTATGTAATGTGTAAAAATATCATGAAAAATGATATACGAACTTGCAAAGCAAAGCTGCTCGCAATCCTCTTCCGTTAGAAAACGATTCCCATTCCCACCATCACCGGTATAGTCGAACGGTTCGCATTTCTCCTCACCCTGGAACGAAAAAGATGGCCGTAGGCTCACTGCCTAAGCTCTCTAACAAACGCGGTATTTGATATCCCTAAGAGCACATTGTTGCAAAAATGACGAGAAATGCCAGCCGGAGAAGAATTGGAGCAGAGTGCATCCGCAAATTTCACGGTCCATTTGGTTTTTAGGTTTGGCTCACACAGAACCGCAAGAAAAGCGCTTCAATTCACGAGCTTTGGGAGCAGCTGCATGGCCTGATTCGGTCCTGCAAAATTTTACCACTACCTTTTTCAAATGTGCTCTCCTAGCTTAGCTTCCACGTGGGAGGTCGGTAAACCTGTGTCTCGGAATCTTGGTAAGCCCCTATGACCCCGAATGTGGCGAGCGAGCACCATAGCCAACTGGTGCGGGTGAACGTTACAGTCGGCCGTCAGTACTGTGTTTCTTGTATCCTCTGAGCTAGTTGATCGTGTGCACAATAGTCTTAAGCGTGATTGAACCGCTTGAACTTCGTGGAATGAAAACAGGCTTAATGAGTTCAAAGTGGTAGAGCGATTTCCAGCCTATTTTACCACTTTCTTCTTCGAATGTGATAGGAATACAGTATGAACCTCCGGTTTGCACAGGCTCTCTTCCTCTATCTCTCTGTCCTCCCTCCGTTACATATCCTTTGTTTTAACTGTCTTGTTGCGTGAAAATTAGGTTGTGCCTTTGACTTTTATTTCGGTGAGCCCAGGACGATGTTCTTCTTCTAGCTTTGATTTCTCTGCACTTCAATCTTTCTCTACGGTTTGGAGAGAGAAAATTGGGAATTTACAGTTTTACTCATGTTTTTTTTCCGTTGTCTTCTGTTGATTTTTTTCACTTCTGGAAAAGTCTTCCAGTAGTACCTGCGGCTTTACTTTTACACTGTATCGCGCACTTCATGCGCATTCATTAACTAAATAAATATATAAAAGACTAGGTGTCAAATATGGGAAGACCGTCCGGCCACTGATCAGAGCTGATTAGGTAGAGAGAGCAGGATGTCTTGCAAGTGAGTAGTGTTCTTGTATAATGATTCTATGGGCACTCCCAGGGCGTTCCAGACAATAAATGGGCGGTTGCCAGATTTTCTGTGGGTAGTTTCCATGCCATCTAATAATTTATTTTGAATTGGCTTGCATAAACGACATTCTTTGACGTAAGACTGTTAGTCACACGAAACTTTCCATGAAATCAAATGACCTACCTTGTTAAAATAAAACCGTGGTATTCTGAAAGTGCCATTCCCGGATTGTAAAGGCAAGTCACATAATGCATGATTGGCCTCCCCCGCTGTATGGTGAGCTTCACCATGAACAGCACTAACATCTTCCTCTCCTGCTCTATGGTAAGCTTCACCATGAACAGCACCAACGTATTCTGAAATAATTTGTTGAAACAAGAACCTAAATCAATAGAAACTTGATGAAGTTATGAGCTTCTGATAATGGTTTGAAAGGATTTAATGGAAATCATGTACCGGTTCCACAAGCACGCATACAAGTAACTTCATCAACGAATCGATTCATATTTCCGCCAGAACCCAAGTATTCGAATGGGGCACAAGACGCTTGGGATTCATTGAAGAACCACCTAAATTCGAGGTTTTTGAGTAATTTGGGAAAGGTTCTCAAACTATGATAGTGAAGCGAATTCAGTCAAAACAGCACTGAATCTCGAGCTACTGAATGACGGTTCAAGTGGAAAACAAGAAAATGAGAAAGCCGGATGCCTGGCACTGAAACGTCGCTTTCAGAGTGGCCAAGCGTTTTCAGTTCATAATCGCAGGATCGAAGGGGTTCAGTTCTTCAAGATTCCACCGGAAACGCTGTAAAGCTTTTAAGGTCCTGTAAAGGTTAGCTGTAAAGGTCCTATGCTCCTAATTATATCATTGGTGCCGTTTATCATTGGGGCCCAAATTTGAAGTAAAGTAGTTTAGTAGGATTGCCCGACTCTACCAATGTACTCTATTTCAAGTTTGTGCCCCAATAATAGGTGCAGGAGTCGTTTGAATCATCGCGAATTTCGCCGCACAATTTGCCGCGCGCACACAGAATCGCACGAATCGCACGTCCCCCCTGGCAAAGGGTGAAGATAGTCAAGTGGCAAATGGCGCCACCATCTACCACCGAGGCACGGCCAGGATTGAGATATTGATACTAGGCCATCCAAACAATCCATCCCTCAGCTTCGGTCAAATGATAAGAACTTCCGGTAAGATGGAAGAAAAGAATGTTCACGCGATGGCAGACAACGGCATGTCCTTGTCCAGGCTACATTTTAGGTGGAGAGAGAGACCTATCTTAAAGGCACCGTTTACGATAAATTTAGGGTACCATTTTTTGACGGGAATTCATAGAACTACTCTAGAATAGAGCGATAACAACGAAAAAAGCGCAAAAAACGATGAATAAAAAGAAATAGAAAGGGTCAAAAAAGAGCTGGGAAGGGGGGTTGAACGAGTTTCACATTGGAAGAACGGCGGTTAAGGGAGTGTTTGGG